CCCCAAAACCCCAAAACCCCAAAACCCCATGGCTCTATTAGAACAAAAGCATTAATTATTGCTTCTAATTACAATATCATTTTTATTTATCATTTCTCTTACTTTTTGCTTTTTAACATTTCCTTGGTTTTTATCTTCGAAACCTTTTCGGTGTCTACCTATTTCTGCTTTCTACTAGGAATACTAAGTGCCTCCATCGATTTTTTAATTTATTTGTTGTTATCAGCCTAATTTACAATCAATTACTCTATCTTATTTTCTTTCCCTTCTTCTTGTAATTTATCTAAATCAATTTATAACTAAATGGGGACATGATCACTTCCAATTATACTTTTATGGACACTTGTATCAATCACAATTCCAACATCTTTCTAGGGAACAATAAAGTAATCAATTCTCCAACCTTTGTTTAATTCATGACCTCTTATCCTAGCTGAAAAGTATGTAAACTCTTATTTATCAGGGTAAAGGTGCCTATAAACGTCAACATAGCCTCTTCCAATCAATGATTCAAATGATGCTCTTTCCTCAGGAGTATAACATGCACTTTTTTCTTTTCCTTTAGCATCATAAATATCGATCTCCTTCCTTGCAACATTCATGTCCCCACTCAGTATCAAGGGCTTTTTATTTTCGATTCTAACTTTGTCAATATAATCATGAAAGTCTTTATCAAACTCCTGAGTTCTATAATCTAGTCGTCTCAATCCATCTCCAGAGTTAGGGACATAGACACTAATTAGAATAAATTTATCAAATTCTGCTGTAATCACTCTCCCCTCTTGATCATGGTGCTGGACATCTATATCATATTTAACATTGAGAGGTTTAATTCTTGTTAAAATTCCAGTCCCAGAATACCCTCTCCTCGCTTTAGAACAATTCCAGTATTGCTCATAATGTAGTGGCAATTTCTCATGAATCCCTTTCTCTAAAATAGATTGGTAGTCAGTCTTTGTTTCATTTAAACATAATATATCTGGCTAATGATTCTCTAAAAATCTTAGTAAATGACCCTTCAATACTCCAGCTCCGAGACCGTTGATATTCCAATGCCAAATTTTAAGTTGGCTTTATGGTTAATCTTACTCTAGAGCTTTACCGTGAAAGAGATGTGTATTTCTTTTCAAAATTAAATCCATTTGCTGACTAACTATTTTTTTTGGAGTTTTCTTGATACTGGCTTTGATCTCTTAGTCATTTTGATTTAGCAATAGAGATAGATTTCTTCGATGTTAGCTTTGAATTACTTTAGGTTATAATATAAGATGACTTTATCTAATTAATTTTACCATTATTTAATTTATTATTTAGTTTTTAAACTATTGAAAGTTATCAAAGCTGAATAAAAAGCAGTAGTTTTATATTATAATTAATATTTTTGTTTTCACTTAAATAGATGTTTACTCATTGCGGGGTTTTGGGGTTTTGGGG